TCTACTGTTGTCTTTGTCTTCCTCTGTTGTCTACTGTTGTTTTTGTTGTCCTCTGTTGTCTTTGTTGTCTACTGTTGTTCACTGTTGTCTTTGTTTTCCTCTGTTGTCCACTGTTGTCTTTGCTGTCTACTTTTGTCTTTGTTTTCTACTGTTGTCTTTGTTGTCTACTGTTGTCCACTGTTGTTCACTTTTGTCTTTGTTGTCTACTGTTGTCCACTGTTGTCTTTGTTGTCTACTGTTGTCCACTGCTGTCTTTGTTGTCTACTGTTGTCTTTGTTGTCTACTGTTGTCTTTGTTGTCTACTGTTATCTTTGTTGTCTACTGTTGTCCACTGTTGTCTTTGTTGTCTACTGTTGTCCACTGTTGTCTTTGTTGTCTACTGTTGTCCACTGTTGTCTTTGCTGTCTACTGTTGTCTTTGTTTTCTACTGTTGTCCACTGTTGTCTTTGTTGTCCTCTATTGTCTGCTGTTGTTCACTGTTGTCTTTGTTTTCCACTGTTGTCCACTGTTGTCTTTGCTGTCTACTGTTGTCTTTGTTTTCTACTGTTGTCTTTGTTGTCCACTGTTGTCTTTGTTATTTACTTTTGTCTTTGTTGTTTACTGTTGTCCACTGTTGTCTTTGCTGTCTACTGTTGTCTTTGTTTTCTACTGTTGTCCACTGTTGTCTTTGCTGTCTACTGTTGTCTTTGTTGTCTACTGTTGTCTACTGTTGTCTACTGTTGTCGTTGTTGTCCTCTGTTGTCTACTGTTGTCTTTGTTGTCTACTGTTGTCCACTGTTGTCTTTGCTGTCTACTGTTGTCTTTGTTTTCTACTATTGTTTACTGTTGTGTTTGTTGTCCTCTGTTGTCTACTGTTGTCTTTGTCTTCCTCTGTTGTCTACTGTTGTTTTTGTTGTCCTCTGTTGTCTTTGTTGTCTACTGTTGTTCACTGTTGTCTTTGTTTTCCTCTGTTGTCCACTGTTGTCTTTGCTGTCTACTTTTGTCTTTGTTTTCTACTGTTGTCTTTGTTGTCCACTTTTGTCTTTGTTGTGTACTGTTGTCTTTGTTGTTTACTGTTGTCCACTGTTGTCTTTGCTGTCTACTGTTGTCTTTGTTTTCTACTGTTGTCCACTGTTGTCTTTGCTGTCTCCTGTTGTCTACTGTTGTCCTTGTTATCCTCTGTTGTCTACTGTTGTCTTTGTTGTCTACTGTTGTCCACTGTTGTCTTTGCTGTCTACTGTTGTCTTTGTTTTCTACTATTGTCTACTGTTGTTTGTTGTCCTCTGTTGTCTTTGTTTGTCCTCTGTTGTCTTTGTTGTCCTCTGTTGTCGTCATTCTTTGTTAAAGAAATCAGGTCTCTGTTGTAAATGAGTTCCTGAGGCTCAATGGGATTCACCTGTAGAAATAATGGTTGAATGTTGAGACCGGTTCATGGGACCACAGCAGGTCTGATCGTACCCAATAGAACCAACAGGTCAGGAGTTTTCATCCAAAGGTTCTGTGGTCCAGTTCAGTAAAGCTTTCAGAACCAGAACTTGTTCCTTCAACAGCTGACAGCTGGTTCTGATCCATTCTTTAGGTCTGGGTTCTGTGGACACATTCTGGATATTTCGCAATAAAAGTACAATACTGAGCCTTGACAAGAGACCAGAACTAGCACCTCCTCCAGATGGGTCTGAAATGACCCAGGAACCAGAACCATCTCGGGGTTAGGGGCGCCTGAAGTCCAGATTCTGAAGTCCAGATCAGAGTCTGAACAATGATCCTGAATTTGACCCAACCTGTTTGGACTTTAACCTAAACCTGGTTCTGTATTTGGATCAGCAGTCTTCAGAACTCTCAGTGGTTTTATTCTGACACGTTTCAGACCCACCCTACACTCAGAACCCCCATTAGCCAAGAGGTCTGCAGCAGGTCGTCACCATGGCAACAGTGTTCTGTGTTTCTGGGAAGGACTATGGACTCGAGGTACTTGAGTCATCCACAAAGCTGCCTGCTGGTTCTGAACACAAAGTGCTAATGAGTTGCTATCACCCCAGAACCTGGTGCTGGGAAACAGGGTCAGAACCACAGTTCAGGTGGACAGAATCAGCACCTGTCTGGGTTCAGTAGACTGCAGGGTTTAAACTGGACTTCCAGCCCAACAGAACCACTCCTGAGCGTGTTCTTTGTTCTGTGCAGGTCCCAGGCAGAACCCGATCCTGACAGCACCGCCCTTCTTCAGCCCCCAGCCTCCGTTTCAGAGGTGAGTTTTGATTCCAGCAACAGCGCCGGTCCAATCAACCATCATTGGACCATGAAGAAGAGGTTCTGATGAACGGCCCGGACCGGTTCTCAGAGGTTTCCTAAGTAGTCTTCAGCTTTTAGAGCTAGTCCAGACTTGGACTGTCATGATCTGGTTTATGTATTTTTTTTTGTATAACTATATATATACAGCGTATTTTCTGCCTACACGTCGCTCCGCCCTATGGTAAATGGTAAATGGACTGTACTTGTATAGCGCCTTTCTATCTGATCAAGATACTCAAAGCGCTTAACAACAATCTGTGCCTCATTTACCCGTTCAAACAGCACTCTACTAGCTCTCTACAAAGCTAATTGAACAAGTCATTCTAAAGAGACTAGTCAGTGCTTTTTCACATTCATACACTGATGGGACACACATCGGAGGCAATGAGGGGTTCAGTGTCTTGCCTAGGGACACTTCGGCATGTGACTGCTGGTGGATTCGAACTCCAACTCTTGCATTGGACGACGACTGCTCTAACCACTCAGCCACAGCCGCCATATAAGTCGCATCCGTTCATATTTGTCTAATAAAGTAGATAAATCCATAAATGTTGCTTCACCATATACGTTGCATCTATTATGCGTCACCAATGACGTGTCGCATTTGTTACGTGTCACCGCTGACATCCGGGAAATGTGGGCTGGTGTTGTGCCAAAAATTGATGGGCTGCCAAATGGCAGCCGTGGGAGCGTTCACGGTAGGACCTTAAGAAGAATTTAACAAGATTAACACTTAAAAACAATTGTTTGTTTGCTCGAAATTATAGTAAATGTGTGTCTCAGTCTAACTTTGACTTAATAAATGCACTTTAATGGTCAAATTAGCTGCATTTCACCGGGGCAGTGCAGCAAAATGAATTGACGGTTGCTCCAAGCAGTGAGCAGAACGAAGGTGACAGGCTGTGGCAAGCCGATTGTGTCATTAATAGCTAATGAAGATTCTCAGTCATCCAGGACATGGTAAATTCAAAAAAGTTTGACAAAAACAATAAATTCTAAAGTTTAATAAATAAAGTCCAGTTGTTTTTATCTTGAACTTTTTGGAATTTGTCATTATAGCCACTTTTACCTATTACATGATACAACAGCATACCTTACTACTTTGGTGCCATCTAGTGGCTGAAAATGGTAGTGTTCAAATTTTCCAGTCTCACTGAATGAAAACAATCATATCTCAGCCAAAAATTAGTTTATAAATATTGGGAAAAAAAATCCATAAATATGTCGCTTCGGCCTATAGCACAAAAAATACGATATACACACCCTTTCCAAAAAAATTGAATATCTTGGAAATGTTGTTTAACCTCCATAATTCCATTCAAAAAAGTTAATCTTTAATAGATGATAGATTCAGGGCCCACAATTTGAAATATTTCAAGTTTTTATTTGTTTATTTTTACATAATTTGGGCTTTCAGCTCATGAAACCCACTCTCTGTCCTCTGGTGGAACCAGATGTCTCTCCCTGTCTCTCCCCACCCGCTTCCCTGCTGTACTCTTGTCCTGTGAACCCTTAAAAAACTTCCTTTTTGTTTTTTTTCTGTATTCAATTCAGTTCAATTCAGTTTATTTATATAGCACCAAATCACAACAAAGTTGTCTCAGGGCACTTTACAGAAACATTCACATACATAAAAGCCAATTAGTAAAGTTCTCTATCTAAGGAATGCATACCTCTTAACTCGAAGGATCAGCTGGTCTCTCAACAAAATTGATCAACTTCTCCTGAGAGGAGTCTTACCTCAACGGAAACAAATTGGATTCATGATGACAACTGTTTTTTTTTTGTTTTGTTTTTTTTTGCTGTTTGGCTGGTGAATTCTGGATTGTCTAAATTTCTGTGGATGTGTCGAAGCTCGACAGTTCTCAGACTGAATTTGGGGAGCTGCAGCAGGGAGCTGGAGCAGGCTGTTATCAGGACTGTGAACTTTTCTGGCAGCACTCATGAATGGTGGGAATAATCTTGGAGAAGCTGTGAGCTCGACTTTTGGCATAAAGGATCAATTCGGCTGTTTTGGAGTTCCATCAGAGGAATATATACCAGCGAGATTTTAAAAAGGCAGAAACAACAATTCACGAGTTCTGCCTGACCCAAACTGTGGCCTTGATGCCAGACTTATCTCAACTCATCCTGGAATGTTTTGAAAACAACAAAGATGCTTTGACTGTCTCCTCACCCCTCCCTTCCCCAAGGCCGTGGACATGTGACAGAACCTCAACTGAGCTGATGATGAATGTCACCTCATATCTGGACAATGGCTGGGGGGGGGGGGGGGCTCTAGACTATGCTACGACTTTCCCTTAAAAATTCAATGTTTTCACCGGCCTATATGTGCATGTATAACGTCTATTTATGTTGCTTTGCTGTGGTAGGTTTTTTTTTTATGCCTCAAATCGTGCCCTGTCTAGGACACGGCGTGAGAGATCGTTTTTTATACCGTCTCTCCTCATGTTTTCTTCCCTTTTCTCATCTAAGCAAAATATTATTCTGAATAAGAATAAGAGGGCCGCGCTATTTATAGCCGCAGCTTCGTGCGCTCCGCCCATCTTTTGGACAACTGTACGTACATGTTCTCGTATCTTGGTGCATTGCCAATAAAGTTTATTCTGATTCTGAAAACAGGATTTCAAAAAATTAAAATACTGTGAAGAAATCAGCCCAAATTTTACAGAGCATGAATGTTTTAAAATGAGTGTGACACACTAATCATCTACTAAACTCAATTAACCTGCACAGGTTTCCCCAAGTGTCATTAAATTGCTTCAGTTTGGTTCAATTGTCTGTTTGGTTCAATATGGGGAAGACTGCAGACAACAACTGGCCAGAAGATCATCATTGATACCCTCCATAGGATGGGTAAGCTACAAAAGTTCATAGCTAGGGAGGCTGGCTGTTCACAGAGTGCAGTGTCCAAGCATATCAATGGAAAGTCTAGTGGAAGGGCAAAATGTGGCATGAGAAGATGCACCAGCAAAAGAGATGACCGTGGGCTATAGCGGATTATCAAACAGGAGATTCCAGAATCTGGCAGAGATCCAGAAAGAGTGGAATGAGGTGGGAGTCACAGCTTCAAAAACCACCACATTCAGACGCATCTGGGAGATAGGCTACAACTGTTAGGTTCATCGGTCCTCTTTTCCAAAATTGTGCCTTTCATTCAGAAATCAAGGTCCAAGGGTTTGAAAGAAGAAGGGTGAGGAACAGAACCATACTGCTTGAGGTCCAGTGTGAAATACTCACAGTCAGACATGATCTGGAGTGCAATGTCCCGTGCAGCTGTTGGTAAACTCTGCTTTCTTAATTCCAAGGTCACCGCAACATTCTACCAGAATGTTTTAGAGGACTTAATGATTCCTTCTGCTGAAGATCTGTCTGAAGATGCAGATTTCATCTTCCAACAGGACCTGGCCCCTGCCCATGCCGCCAGAAGCACCAAACACCAATTTGATGCCCATGCCACAGTGCTTGACTAGCCAGCCAACTCATCTGAGCTAAACCCCATTGAGAATCTATGGGGTATTCTCAAGAGGAAAATGAGGGGCACCAGACCCAACAACAAAGAAGAGCTGACCACAAGCATCAAGGAAATCTGGGCTTCTATAACTCCCAGGCAATGCCACAGGATGATTGCCTCAATGCCACGTCTTATCGAGGCAGTGATTAAGGCAAAGGGATTCACAACCCCAACCAACCCCTCCCTGGGCTGCCACCTTACTGTGGTAAGGTGGGGTTTGAGTGTTCCATTGATCCTAGGAGCTATGCTGTCAGGGGCTTCATGCCCCTAGTAGGGTCACTCAAGGCAGATAAGTCCTAGGTGATGGATCAGACAAAGTGCAGTCCAAAGACCCCTTATGATGAGTACAATCAATGGAACCAATGTTCGCTCACCCAGACGTGGGTCACCGGGGCCCCACTCTAGAGCTGGGCCTGGAGGTGGGGCATGCTGGTGAGCGCCTGGTGGTTGGGCTTTTACCCATGGAGCCCAACCAGGCACAGCCCGAAGAAGAGACGTGGGTTCCCCATTTCATGGGCTCACCATCTGTGGGATGAGCCAAATGGGTCGGGTGCAATGTGGGATGGGTGGTGGCCAAGGTTGGGGACCCTGGCGGTCTGATCCTCTGCTACAGAATCTGGCTATTGGGGCGTGGAATGTCATCTCTGGTGGGGAAGGAGCCTGAGCTGGTGTGTGAGGTTGAGGTTCCGGCTAGAAATAGTCGGACTCACCTTAACGCATAGTTCTGGCTCTGGAACCAATTTCCTTGAGAGGGGTTGGACACTCTTCCACTCTGGAGTTGCCCCTGGTGAGAGGCACCGAGCAGGAGTGGGCAAACCTGTTGCCCCTTATCTTGGTGTCTGTACATTGGGGTTCACCCGGGTGAATGAGAGGGTAGCCTCCCTCCGCCTACGTGTGGGGGGACGGGTTCTGACTGTTGTTTGTGCTAATGCGTCAAACAGCAGTTCAGATTACCCACCTTTTTTGGAGTCCTTGGAGGGGGTACTGGAGAGTGCACCTCCTGGGGACTCCGTTGTTCTACTGGGGGACTTCAATGCTCACATGAGCAATGACGGTGAGATCAGGAGGGGTGTGGTAGGGAGGAACGGCCCCCCTGATCCGAACCCGAGTGGTGTTCTGTTATTGGACTTCTGTGCTCATCATGGATTGTCTATAACGAACACCATGTTCAAGCATAAGGGTGTCCATATGGGCTCTTGGCACCAGGACACCCTAGGCTGCAGTTTGATGATGGACTTTGTTGTCGTCTCATCTGATCTGCGGCCGCATGTCTTGGACACTTGAGTGAAGATGGGGCGGAGCTGTCCACGTACCACTACCTGGTGGTGAGTTGGCTCCGATAGTGGGGGAGGATGCCGGTCAGACCTGGCAGACCCAAACGTATTGTGAGGGTCTGCTGGGAACATCTGGCAGAGTCTCCCGTGAGATGGAGCTGTAACTCCCATCTCCGGAGACCTCAATCCCACTGGCATGTCTTCCACTGAGGAAGCGGAGCCTGGGGACTTTGGGTCGGGCTGTCCAGTCTCTGGTGCTGAGGTCACCGAGGTGGTTAAAATCTTCCTCGGTGGCAGGGCCACAGGGGTGGATGAGATTTGCCCGGAGCTCCTTCAGGCTCTTGATGTTGTGGGTTTGTGTTGGCTTACACGTCTCTGCAATATTGCGTGGTCATCGGGGGCAGTTCCCTTGGATTGGCAAACTGGGGTGGTGGTCCTCTTATTCAAAAAGGGGGCCCGTAGTGTTTGTTTCAACTACAGGGGGATCACGCTCTTAAGCCTCCCTGGTAACATCTATTCGGGGGTTCTGGAGAGGAGGTTCCATCATAGTCGAACCTCGGATTCAGGAGGAGCAGTGTGGTTTTTGTCCTGGTCGTGGAACACTGGACCAGCTCTACACTCTCAGCAGGGTCCTGGAGTGTGCATGGGAGTTTGCCCAACTGGTCTACATGTGCTTTGTGGACTTGGAGAAGGCATTCATCCGCGTCCCTCGGAGAACCCTGTGGGGGGTACTCCAGGAGTATGGGGTACCAGGCCCTTTGATACAGGCTGTTAGGTCCCTGTACGACCGGTGTCGGAGCATGGTCCGCATTGCTGTGAGTAAGTCGGGCTCGTTCCCAGTGAGAGTTGGACTCCGCCAAGGTTGCCCTTTGTCACCGATTCTGTTCATAACTTTTATGGACAGAATTTCTAGGCGCAGCCAAAGTGTTGAGGGGATCCGTTTTGGTGGCCTTAGGATGGCTTCCCTGTTTTTTGCAGATGATGTGGTCCTATTGTCTTCGTCAGGTCATGATCTACAGCGTTCGCTGGAGCGGTTTGCAGCCGAGTGTGACGAGGCCGGGATAAGGATCAGTTCCTCCAAATTTGAGGCCATGGTCTTGAGCCGGAAACAAGTAGAGTGCCCTCTCCAGATCAGGGCGGAGGTCTTGCCCCAAATGGAGGAATTTAAGTATCTTGGAGTCTTGTTCACGAATGAGGGAAAAATGAAGCGTGAGATCGATAGGCGGATAGGTGCAGTGTCTGCAGTGAAGAGGGGAGCTGTACAGGTCTGTCATGGTGAAGAGAGAGCTTGGTCAAAAGGCGAAGCTCTCAATCTACCAATCGATCTACGTTCCTACCCCTAACCCTCTGCCCAGTCACTTGGGCCAGCTCCTCATCTATGTTCAAGTACTTTTGGTTGTGACCAAAAGAACGAGATCATGGAGACAGGCGGCCGAATTTAGTTTTCTACGCAGGGTGTCTGGGCTCTCCCTTATATATAGGGTGAGAAGCTCGGTCATCCAGGAGGGACTCAGAGTAAAGCCGCTGCTTCTCCACATAAAGAGGAGCCAGTTGAGGTGGCTCGGACATCTGGTTAGGATGCCTCCTGTACGCCTCTTTGGTGAGGTGTTCCGGGCATGTCCCAACATGAGGATACCCAGAGGAAGACCCAGGACACACTTGAGGGACTATGTTTCTTGGCTGGCCTGGGAACGCCGTGGGATTCCCCCAGAGGTTAGGTCTAAAAAAGTTAAGTCTGGTCCTCTGGACATTCACAAAACAAAGCAAAACAAACAAACAAAAAATGTAGAAACGTTTCATCTTTCATCGGTTAGACTTCTTCAGTCTGAGGTGCTATATTCAGCCCAGTCTTATAAAAAGCACCTTCTCAGAGTGGATCAACCAATTTGCTGCTGACAACCAGAACCAGCTGCTCCCGTGATCAAGAAGGACCATCAGCCTAGCGATGGATCATTAGCACCCTGATGGCTGTTTACTGTTCACAGAGGGCTGAGTGATACTAGCAATCACAGCATTGTAAGAGGGGGACAGTTGAACATGGAGGCCTCCACCCCTGTTTAATGATGGACAATTTCTTTACACAAAGATGGCCTCCTTTACTCCTCTCTCAAACCATCGTTCCTCTCTATCCAGGATGTGAACATCTTTATCCCTGAAAGAGTGACTGCTGGCCTGGAAATGAGTGTAGACCGCAGAGTCCTGGCCTGATGGTGTTGATCTTCTGTGCTGGGCCATCCTTTTGGCCAGTGGCTGTTTAGATTCCTCAATGTAAGACTGATCACAGCCCTCTGACACTGAACAGCATACACAATATTACTTTTTGTGCCAGGGGACTGGATCTTTGGGATGAACCAGCCTTTGCCATAATGTATTTTGGGGTTTAAAAGCCACTGGGACGTTGTGTTTAGAAAATAAACGTCTCAGTTTCTCTGATACTCCCACAACATACGGAATGACCACTGGTCTGGGCCTGGGTTCCTCCTTTTCACCTGATGGCTGACTGGAGTCCTGTTTGGGTTTCTTCTCTGCTTTCAGGAAGGCCCAGTTAGGATATCCTGAATTTTGCGGTTGCACCAAGTAAAATTCCTCTGCTGGAGATGATCACAGCCACAGATTCAGCCATCCGCAACAACAAAATTAAAGAGGGTGCCGCAGAACAACTCAGAATCAAAGTTTCATCCTGCCTCAGCAATGCCAAACCACCACCTTCCAACATCAGTAGAGAGGAGAGGGATGCACTCACCACTCTTAGCAAGGACAAAAACATAATTCTCCCAGCAGACAAAGGAAGGTGCACAATGATTTTGAACCAGAAAGACTATCATGAGAAAGTTATGACACTCCTTAGTGACTTAAACACTTAAGAACCTCTGAAAAGAGATCCAGGAAGTGGTTACAAGAAGAAGTTGATTGTGTTGCGGGAGTATCAGAGAAACTGAGACGTTTATTTTTTTAACACAACATCCCAGTGGCTTTTAAACCCCAAAATACATTAAAGACTGGTTCATCCCAAAGATCCAGTCCCCCGGCACAGAGTAATATTGTGTATGTTGTTCAGTGTCAGGAGGGTGATCAGTCTTACATCGGGGAAACTTAACAGCCACTGGCCAAAAGGATGGACCAGCACAGAAGATCAACATCATCAGGCCAGGACTCTGTGGTCTACACTCATCTCCAGGCCAGAGGTCACTCTTTCAAGGATGAAGATGTTCACATCCTGGACAGAGAGGAACGATGGTTTGAGAGAGGAGTAAAGGAGGCCATCTTTGTGAAAAGAAACCGTCCATCATTAAACAGAGGTGGAGCCTCCAGGTTCAACTGTCCCCCTCTTACAATGTTGTGATTGCTAGTATCACTCAGCCCTCTGTGAGTAGTAAACAGCCATCAGGTGCTAATGATCCATTGTTAGGCTGATGGTCCTTCTTGAGCATGTGAGCAGCTGGTTCTGGTTGTCAGCAGCAAACTGGTTGATCCACTCTGAGAAGGTGCTATTTAAGAGACTGAGCTGAATACAGCACCTCAGACTGAAGAAGTCTTTCGGATGAAAAACGAAACGTTTCTACTTTTTTTTTTTGGAATGGCCAGAGGACCAGGCTTAACTTTTTAAGATTTTTCTACCTGGACTATTGAGCATGCATCAGGAGGTTAGGGATAGGCATCAATCACTTTACAAATTAAGCCCTGCTCCCCAGGCTGTGGTTATCTCTATTGATTGTACGCTTTTTTCCACCACATGGTTTCCTTCCCTTCACCTCTCTATTAATATGCTTGGACACAGAGCTCTGTGAACAGCCAGCCTCATTAGCAATGACCTTTTGTGTCTTGCTCTCCTTGTGCAAGGTGCCAGTGGTCGTCTTTTGGACAACTGTCAAGTCAGCAGTCTTCCCCATGATTGTGTAGCTACAGACTGAGACCATTTAAATACATTTGCAGGTGTTTTGAGTTAAATAGCTGATCAAAGTGTGGCCACCAGGTGTCGTCAATATTGAACCTGTTCACAATATTCTAATTTTCTGAGATATTAAATTTGGGGTTTTTATTAGTTGTCAGTTATAATCATAAACATTAAAAGAAATAAACATTTGAAATATGTCAGTGTGTGTGTGATGAATGAATATACAAGTTTCACTTTTTGAATGGAATTACTGAAATAAATCAACTTTTTCCATCATATTCTAATTTTATGACCAGCACCTGTACACACACACAGGCATGCGCGCACACGTATGTGTGTATGTATGTGTGTGTGTGTGTGTGTATAACCTGGTTCTGTCTCTGCTGATATGCATCACATCATAGAACCAGTTTTATCTGAACTGGACCTCAGGTTCTGAACCCGCTGTGTTCCTGCAGGCTCCAAGGCCAGGCCCACAGCACAGGTCAAGGCTGGGACCGGGTCATGCAAGCCCAGCCTGCAGCATACCAACAGAACCAGAACCGTGGAGGGGTGGGGCCAAGCAGCTACCAGCAGCAGCGCTACAATCAGCGCCAACCTGAGTGGTCCGATCGCCGTGACAACCGGGATCCTCAGGATCAGGTATGGACCAGATCATCCAAAGCTCACGCTGGTTCTGGTTCTGCTTCTTTAGTTTTTAACCTGTTTTCTGTTAAATTGACTGAACATTCAACAGAAAAAAAAAACTGTTGACTGTTCAGATGTTTCATTATAAAAATTGTTTCTTTAGTTTTTAGTCAACATTCTTTGCTTTTTGTTTTTAATTCAAAAGCTCAAACATTTGTTTCACTTTTGGATACAAAGTTTAGATTGAAATGTAAAAACTATTTAGATTTAAAGTACAAACAATAAACATGTTTTTGTTTCTCCTTTAAAATCACTATTTTATTTTTATTCATTAAGTTTTTATTTAAAGTAAATTTCTGACATCAATAAAAATAGATATTTGTTTGTTTGTGTCAGGCCTTCAGGTCCAGCAGAACCTACCCTCCTCCTCCTCCGACCCAGCGGTACCACTGGAACTGAACCCAAACCTTTTCTTCAGAACCGTTTAAATAAAATAAAAATCTGTTTTTATTTTTTTCATCTTTAAAAACGTTTTTTGTGATTTTTATTCAATGTTTTGTGTAGTTTCTGGTTCTGAGCAGAAATCCTCCAAAACGGGTCAGAACCAAATAAACAAGTTTATCCAACAGTTTGTGTGACTCTATTCATTGTGCAAGGGGCGGGGGACATCCTGGACATGTCTCCAGTCCAACACATGGACACATGGAGACAAAGAGAAACAACCATTCACTCTCACCTGGGATGATTCAGAGTCACCATCAGTCCAACACAGGGACACCTGGACAGGTCTCAGTCCAACACAGGG